CTCAGCAGTTTCCACAACCAGGGCCGCAAGAGACCTCCACTTGTTACGAACCAAATGATGATGTACCAGACCAGTGGCAAGAAGAGCAGACACAGGAACTCTATCTGCTGAAGTAGTGCGGTCAGAAAGCACAAGAACCTTGTCACCATTCTGAATTGCCTCGGTGGCAGCGTCACAAATGGCATCAAGTGCCTCTAGATATCCCGCAACGCCCTTCTTCTTCTCGAAGGTAATATCAATAGTCCTTACGGCCCAGTCATTGTGCGCCTTGTTGATATTCTTCAGGGCACTGAACTCGGGGATGCTCAAGATGGGAGAGGGAAGGAGGAGGCGGTGGCATTGCGAGGCATCCATCTCTAGAAGGTTACCCTGGGGCCCCACGTAGCACTCGAGAGACATAACCACAGCCTCTCGAATAGGGTCTATCGGCGGATTTGTGACTTGCGCAAAAAGCTGGCGGAAATATTCGTACAAAAGACGTGGTTGTTGGGCAATGCAAGCTAACGGAGCATCATTTCCCATAGAGCCCAATGCCTCCTTGGAGTCGGCAGCCATGGGACCAAGCAGCAGGCTGACCTGTTCAAAGGAGTACCCGAAAGCTTTAAGGCGGGGGTCATTCTGGACACTGGTATCATCAATTGTGTAACTAAGGTCGACATTATGTTGGAGCAACCTCTCCTTGATGGCGGGCAGCTTCAAAAGCTCCTTCTCCAACCATGCGGAGAAGTTTTGGCGATGAGAGACGGTGTACTTGAGCTCCGAGTCATCAATGATTCGGCCAGCCACGGTGTCAACCAGTAGCATCTTTCCAGGTTGCAAGCGGCCCTTCTGGACCACACGCTCCGGATCAATGTCGACGGCACCAACCTCGGACGCGCAAATTATACGATCATCGTCCATGACGTAGAAACGGCAGGGACGCAAACCATTGCGGTCAAGATTTGCACCACAGTACCGACCATCGGAGAACGTGAAGAGGGCGGGCCCGTCCCAAGGCTCCATCTGACAAGCAGCCCACTCGTAGAAAGCAGCCTTAGCAGGATCTACAGCCGGGTTTCCCTGCCATGCTTCGGGGATCATGAGCATGACTGCTTCTGGCAAGGAGAGAACACCGTTAATCATCAACAACTCCAGAACATTATCAAAAGCAGCAGAATCAGAGCCGCCGTCCTCTACTACCGGGTACAGCGAATCAAGTTCCTCGCCGAAGATGTCTGATTTCAGCACACCCTCTCTAGCCCGCATCCAGTTCTTGTTTCCTCGGAGAGTGTTAATCTCGCCGTTGTGTGCAGCCCATCGTAGAGGCTGAGCACGATCCCAAGAGGGAAATGTGTTGGTAGAGAAACGAGAATGAACAAGAGCAAAGTGACCCTCATAGTCCACATTGACCAAGTCATGATAGTACTGATATACTTGGACAGGAGCGAGTTGACCTTTGTAAACGATATTTCTGTTGCTGAGAGAGCACAGATAAAACCAGTTTGCCAGACCAAGAACATGTGTAGCACGTTTCCGAAGAATGTACAGTTGACGCTCGAATGTTCTTTCATCGAATAATTCTGGGTCCGTGATGTCGGGCTTGTTACCATCGCCATAGGCCGACTTCAACACCACAAAGGGCTGGATAATAATGGGCTCTCTCGAGAGGGCAGCAGGACCCAAAATAGTGGAATCATGTGGAACCTCACGCCACCCCAGTACACGTAGCCCCAAGGAAGTTGCAAGTTCCTCAAATGTAGTCGTGGAATCCTTGAGTGTCTCTTGGTCGGGCTTGAAGAAAAGATTGCCAACCGCGTACTGGCCAAGAGGGGGAAGGTCAACCCCAACCTCACGAGCAAAGTTCTTAATGAAGAATCTATGAGGGATGCTTGTCATCACACCGGCACCATCACCATCCCGAGCATCTGAGCCAACAGCTCCTCGATGCGTCATGTTACAGAGGAGATTGCGAGCTGTATACGATAGCAATATACGTTAGCGGGCAGAGGTTTATGTAATCTTCCAAATGAGTCCTTACCATCGCTGACGATCTTGTGGCTGGGCTTGCCTTTAATATGGCTGCCAATTAGTAGGGGTCCATGTTAGCAAGAGTCACGCGAGGCATTCTAGCTGCTTGAGACAGTCAACCGAAGACTTACGCAGTGAAGCCTACTCCACAAGCATCCTTCTCATACTCAGGGTCATAAAGACCCTGCCTCTCGGGCAAAGTATTAGCCCAGCCATATCCTTGCTTTGGCTGGTACTCCGAATACTCGTTGGGCTTCTGCTCGTCAATTATATTTTGGCCATATATTTCCTCCAAGTTCAGACCCATTCTTCCGCCGATGGCCGACAGAAAATGGAATGGCAAAACTAGGGGGGAATGGAGTGTCTCTGGAAAAGAGCACCACAGATCAAGTCAAGGCGGGGTGGTGAAGCGTATAGATATGTAGTGGCCTTATGTCGTCACAATATGTTTAGGTTAACAACGTGGGTAAGTAAATGAGGAATGAGGGGGGGTTCTGTCAGTGGCGTAACGTATAGCTCGAGGATCAATGGAAGGATGAATATGGTGAGGTGAGAGGGGAAGAGAGAAGATGCAGGAGGGCGGGAGGGAGGATATACTAGTAAGGGAATGGCAGGTGGGATTGTAGAGCGGGAAGCAGAGGTCCGGAGAATTCAATTCACCTAGACTCTCCGATACCAGACAAGGTACAGTATGTATTTTATCGGGATGAACGGACATTAATTACAAGAAAAAGACAGGGTTTTCAAGTGGAAAGCAATTGTACAATCAACGGATAGTATAGGGAAAATACGCAGCTGTGGGGGTTAGGGATAGGCCGTGGCAAATTGCAGCTGTTTCTTCCACCTGAGAGCGTAGCTCTACTAGTAGTGTACCTACTCCGGAGGTAATATTAAGGCAGCTCGAAAAATAAAAACAGCTAATCTTTGAGGTCTGGAAAATGGTAAAATAAACCAATCCGTCTCTGTACCCTCGCCCGCCCACTCCCCTTTCCCTACTCAGAACAACGAGACATGGCAAAAAAGAAAAGGAAAGGAAAAAACCGTAAAAGAAAATAAAAACATAACATAAACTAAATTAAAACAAGGGAGGAAGAAAATAGGGAACCGAGGCGAAAGGTCAATTCGAGTTCTGTTGTTCCTATGGGTTATTACACACCCGTGGACCTATCTCTTCAATTCCGCATCGGGCGAGACGAACTCTCGCGTAGCATTCACGGGAAGAGAGCGTTTTCGGCGCCTTCCGCCCTTGGTTGGAAGGACGTGGGAGGCAGAGTGGATGTTAAAGCATCCATAGTGTTACCGATATCTGCATTATGTTATAAGTATTTTATTTAGATTCCTCCCAACGCGTACCAATCTACTGCAATTGAGAGATTTTTGAACCCGGTTAAGGAGGAAATGTTATTTTTCTTTTATCCGCCAGTGCCATACATTAAGTACTAGATTAGTAGCACTTACTCCGGAGGTACCTACAGTCTTGTTACTATGAAAGCGGGAATGGAAGGTAAGGTGGTTGAGTTACGGAGTACTATGCAATGCAATCCAGAAACCGAGGACGCTAATGAAGAGATAAGACAGTCAGGGCCAATCAGAATCCTGGTATTTCAACCTTTTAACCAAGAAGATTAGGTTTCCACTACGTCAAGATCCAACCTGGTGGAGCCTAAACTAATCTAAAAATTAAAGGAATGGCTGCGTTGGCGCTAGTGGGAAACGATTTACACTGCCCACTCGTTTACGCTGATCGGTATCAGCTAGTAATTTTACCATATTCGGTCATGCTGCTACAAACGCTTTTCAGATTCCGAGGGCTTCCTTTATAGGTCGTAGGGATTGGTATTGTACCCTATTAACTAAAGGCAGGAGGAATTGAATCCACGCTGCTTGTCTTTTTTGACTTTTTCCTCTTAGAATAGTATTATACGTAGTACTGTCCCTCCAACTCGTTAATCCACGTCCAACCCCCGCATTCCCCTCAATCTATATATCTATTCTGCAAAATCACGCCGGAAACTAACATGACGCATGCCTTTGCACTGTTGGTTTGAACATAGGGTTATGGAGGATCTCGAAACCAAGTTCAACATAGGATCAACATCTAAATTCGTAGGATATCATGCTGATTCCGGGCGCCGTGATTGGATAATAGTAAGCTAACCCATAGTACCTCACGGATTGCCCAAGATACTAGTTCTTGGGTCCAAATGAAGAATACAAGCAGTTGCACACCCTCGGAGAATAATTCTAGTGAAGTCAGATACTTGACTTCTTAGCTTAAATAATAACGATTCGGTATTACAATCGCGTATATTCAATAGACACCCCCACACCATTTCCAGATATTTCCTGTTCTTCTCATTCCTTCCCCCCTCCTCTCTTTTTAGGGAGTGTTGGGGTTGGGGGAAGGGGGCGCGGATGAGTAAGTAATGTATGTGTTTTGATAATGCTTTTTCCTTTTCCCCTTCTCCAATTCTTGTGAAGTTGATGCCATTGTCACTAACCCTATCGCTGGCTTACTCGGTCAGAAGTCGGGGAAAATTTTGAATACTGGAAGAATAGAATCGGTGCCCTGTTAGTATCCACCTCTACTTCCACATGATTTCTCTCATTCCGGTCCGTTGGCCCCTTAGTAAGGGAAGACCCGACTGGATGGATGTTGTCAAGTGGGGCAGTGCTAGGGTGCAGACTTGGGGTGCTTATCCTGTCTGGACTCTCCCCAAAACAGTTGTTGTTAGGATGTCTAGATGTACTTTTTCTAAGTCTCTTTCTCCCTAAAGATACATAGCGATTCCTGATTGGACCGAAAATGTAGCAAATTTTACCTTGGGCAAGAGTGCTTGGCAGGTACTGAGAATTGCCTTGAGTCAGCAAGGAGATAAAAGCGCAAAGGCCATAAAGTGAACAAAAGAAGAAAAAAATACAAATAAAAAAATAAAGCAAGTATAAAAGTGGATGTTGTAGTACAAAAGAAGTATGTATTCCATCAGATGAACCGCCCTATAGTTCGTTGCCTATTCCGATGATCATGACACCATTAGGTGATGATTTACGCCTTAAGCACAGTATCTCCTATTATGATGAGATTAAATATGACATAGTCGCCCCTACTCTCTCACAAACATCAAGAACTAGAGTGTATACGCAGCCTGTGACTAAAGCTATCAGACCATGCAACCACCAAGTGCACTGAGCAATGGATGGGCGTCCGCAATACCGAAGGTATTGTGTACTTTTCCCTGACTGTCACTAAAAGTTGCATATCCCACGCTGCCTCAGTTGCAGGCTGTTGGACGATCACCATTAGTACCGTAACACCGACATTCATTATTACAAGCGTATACTCAATATGTAATATTGGCGACCGTCGGGTGGGTAAAATTACTGGCACGGAGCAATACCACATGCTGTCCGCCCAGATGCCCGTGCAGGTTTAGGCTTGTCAGCAGCAACCTTCCGACAACGGCCAAGCTGGGAGCTTTTCCTCTACGATACAGTACGTTCTTCCCCCGCTGTCCTCCTTCTCCAACAAATTGGCCCTACTCCCGGTCCTTGCCCAAATCCTCACCTGACGGCCGTTCAGTCACACACTTTCCCTAGCCGATTTCGGGGGTCCGGGGGGCTCATCGGGCATTCACAGATACATCTGGATTGGCCGGTGGGAGTTTCTACCAGGTCATTTTCTCAGGTCATCAACACCCTTATCAGACGAACTGCTAATCCTCCGATGCTTACTCCGTACTCGATACCATATCTACAATTCTCTGTTTCAGAACAACGCCTTCTTCTGTGACCGGGCCCTTTCCATTCCCCCGTAATCTCAGGATTTCCCGGGGAAAATCCACCCCCATGACATTCATTGATTGACCCCGGCCAATGAGCACGGGCAACTCAACCAGCACCACCGGGAATATGGCCGCATGGATCTGAAAGTCCTTCTCCCTCTTCGGATTTATGCCCGTGGACCATGATAAAAATTAAATGCAGATATTAATTTCCTTCAATGCCTTGGTCACTTTCTTTTGGAAATTTAACTCCCGGACACATGCACTTGTCCATTCCTATGGGTGAAGGGTGCCCCGACCTGAGGTTGATTACATCTCTAAGAGACGCAGCTAAGGTTTAGCTATTTGCTGGTGTATTCGCACTCTACGTCAGTCTTGTTATCGGCTAACCAAATGCATTTCTAAAAGGGGATAGTCATCTTTTCTGCGCCATGACCGAACCAGTGGATCTAAGACTGAAAGTAAATCCTTTACGATTAGAAGTACTCTGTACAGAGTAATGGGAAAGGATTGAAGGTGACTCAGGCTTACTCCGTACAGAAGAATCGCCAATAATGCAGGTCACTTTTGGGTATGTTGGCTGTGCCCCATTATGTATCCGCAAAAGCCGCCTGATGATCTTCACTCTTTTTTGGCCTCTTTCAAAGCCATGGGCATCACATGATCAGCGGAGATGCCAATGTTTCCGGCTCCCGTTCTCTCCCGATACTTCCTGGTCAGTCTTGACCGCTTTAGGTTCACCGGGCGTAAGCCAGTCGATGCAGCGGAAAGCTGCAAGACATCGGGGTAACCCGGAATACTGCTTGGAACGGCCGAATAGCGAGTTAGAGTCCGTTTTCGTGCCTCTCGCAGTTGCTTACGTCCACATAAGTTAGAGTGTAAGCAGTCGTAGATGATGAGTCTTTCCTTTGGTGTGAGTGACAAGGTACTTAACGCAGGACGGAGTACTTCGTGCCGCTATTGCAACAAACTTTCTCGTTGAAGCGACGCTGTAACCGATTTGGGATCTTGAGAGTGTTGCAAGTACGGTACCTATAGGTGATGTGTAGTAGAAGACTCCAGTTTCAGTCGAAGCCGAGTGCATTTTCTGATCAACTTCGGCATCTGTCTCTTCCTGTATACTAGTTTCCTCCTAGACTTCTGCATGACTGGGGACGTTTTTATGATCTGATCCTATATCGTCGCTTACAAGGTATGGCTGTATCTTTCCATAGAAGCCTTGACGGAAAGTCTAATAATTGGCAGAGCGAGCAAACGATAATACTAGATCCTTTACTAGCTACTTACTGCTTGTTTTCTACATCTTTTTTGCCAGTTATTATTAGGCTAACTCAACATCCATAGAGTAGACTTTTGGGTATTTTATTGAAACTTAGCCTCAGCGTGCTCTGTTCACTGTACCCAGGAAGCAGTGAGCGTACTCAAAATTTCCGTTGGCACGCATCTAAGACACCGTTGAAGATTTCTTTGTCTTTCTAACAGTGAAATATTCGCACTTCAACTCCCATGGTCAAAACCAAGGAGTATCTCTATTTTCTAGAAGTAGATCTTCAAGTCATTTACGTCGTGCATAATATAGGTATCATGTAGATTTACAGTGGCATACTCTAGTTATTAATTTCTCCATAATACGCAATCGAATAACACTGCATAGACCAGATTTAGTGATTGCCTTTAGACTATCGGTGATACTTTACAGATGGCCATCCATGACTACCACATTCATATTGGGCGGTGTACCAAGCGGAGAAAAATTGAAAAATGATAATACCATATAAGAAGTTAGAGACGTCCTAGTAAGTGAAGTACATACATATAAGAATATAAAAGAAAGGAAATCGGAAAAAAAGGAGAAGGGAAACAAAGAGCGAAAGAACAGGGTTACTTCACATACGTTGAGAGAACCCAAGGCGGATTTAAGGTGGACTTTCCCCACGTTGCTGCGGAGCTTAAACGCCGGTCTAATTGTTTTCTTCGATCATTTCCCCAGTGACTACCGAACGGTCTTCCACCCACAAGTTTATTGTCAATTGCCATAAACAATCTTTGACACCTTTTCATCTTGTTTCTTTCTTTATTTCTTCTTCTTGGGTAAAAAAGAAATTCGCATGGCTTGTGGTTTAGGTCAATTGATCTTGAACATCACAGAGACCTTCTTGAGAACAACAATCGGCGCGTGTACAAAAGCAGCCGTGTATTCTGCTGCGCTGTGTACGATAGATCTAAGCGCAGTATAATCTAGCCGAAAGAATAATATTAAACTTGGATAATAATAAAGAACCTCGAAATTCAGGTGGTATATAGTCTGAGTCTGATCAAGGTTCGACTAGCCATGATGCTCTCCCTACCGCTCATCACACCCCGCGATGTATGTGACCTCCTTGAGGACCCCTGTCCCCATCTAGAGATGGAGGGATGTACAACTGACCTATCTTTACATATGTTAAGTCCCATGAACTCTGGTTCGGATTTCCCCAACCTTATCGTACCTCATCCCAATACCAAACAAATGGAGAAACGCAAGGAGGCTTTCGCCGCAATGGTAACAATACCATGAATGTACGTCCGTTTGTCACGTCCGCCACCACCGGTAATGTCTTATCGTCATTGGTCCTCGAAGAACGTGCGCTCCGTGCTCGCAAGAACAACATCGCCTCTTTCGGTTACTCGTGGATCAAACCTGCGGGATGCACCAAGACCATGCTGGGTATGAAAGAGGAAGAGGCGGAAAGGGAGGAAGCACTAGCTGCGGCAGCTGCAGAGATGGCAGCGGCCACTACGGTAGCCGAGGCTGAAGCAGGAGCTGCTGGGATAAATGGGCTCGATCCACAGCATGATGGACAGGATGACACGGGGATGGAGAGGGACTTGGACGATGATATTCCTGACGCAGATGCAGAGGGTCTCGTGGAGGAAGGAGAGGAGGGTCTGGAAGAGGATGATGTTGTTGACGAGGAGGGATACATGGAACGAGATCTGGACGATGATATTCCTGAAGCGTTCCCTGATGATGACGATGACGACCACCAAATCGAGGATGATTTTAATAACCAGCCAGACTTAGATGATGACATTCCCAGTGCTGGAGACATGGATGATGAGGTAGAAGACATGAGCGAGGAAGACATGGGCCGCGATTTGGACGATGATATCCCTGAGGCTGCAGAGAACCAGTCCGACCAAGAAGATGAATGGCAACATACCGATACAGATGCCGAACTTGATGACGAGGATGAGGCCAGTTTCTCGCATGATCAAAATCTCCCAGCCAGTACCGCTAGCATTCATGGTCTACCTCCAGCACCTGTTCGCGTTCAAGAGACAGAGGCCCAACGCCGGTTCCTCCAGCGTTGGAGTGGCGGCGGCGATGTCTTTGATACAAGCGGCATGATGATCGATGAAGATGATCTACGTGCATCTGTTACTAGTCAAGGTAGTCGACGAAGTTTTTTCAGCAGATTCCCCAGACGACGAGCTGGGGGACCTAGGGATAGTTTTGACTAAACCCAACTGATGGCTAAGCCACCCTATATATTGGCAAATTTATCTATACTTGGGCTATCTTTTAGGGTTGTATATCGTACTGAATGCAGGCACAGGTCACAGATTGTACATTTGGTGTTCAAGTACAAGAAGATTTTGACACTAGTGACGCTAAGTTGTTTTGAAGTTCCTAATATCTTTTATTGTTTTCCTCCTATCAATAGACTATACGATACGGACTAGACTTGCCTATTGCACTGTCGTTGCGGATGAGTTCCTTGGTATATTGAGGATTTTCACACTAACTAATCCCTTGGCATATATATCTGGGTACATATCGTATTTAAGTCCTGGATCCCTTCAGACATGTCTTCCATGAACTGACATTTGTCGTATATGAATTGAGTAAATACGGTTCTGCTCACTTAAGGCGGACAGTATACCTGATTCACTTGTAGACTACCTCTAGTCTCAAGGGTAAAAAAAATACACCCTCCACTTTCTGACAAGGGACTTACAACTGAAAAGATGGATTCCGTTATAGCCATACTCTTTTTATATTCGTCACCAAGCAGCTATTATACACATACTAAATAGTACATTAGAAAAGGACCGCCGGACTAGACAGAGCATATTATCCTGAACTCCACACATGCATTATCATGGGAAGGGTAACGATTAGAGGAGCCGCAACCCCAGTGCAAGAGATATAACTTGAAACTTGTAAAAAAGAAAAAAAAAGAAAAGTAATGGAAGATTGATATCAAGGTTTGACAGTCGCAACATCACCGACATCCTTGTAGGCCATAATGGAAAGAACTGAGGGAACCAACAAAAAAGGGAGGTAGGAAAAGAGAGGAGCGGGGAAATAGCAGGGTGGGCACACTGTCTAGAAGACTTGCTCGTTTGTCAATCATCAGAGATATTAGCAAGGGTTTCATTAGCAATTTATTCGATTCGGATGGGTTCGTGTCTCTTGTTAGGGGGGCGAGGAGCGTGGTTCGAAAAAATAAGAATAAAGTAAGAGTACTGATGCGTCTGTCACTATAGCGCGAGACAAGGTAAGTTGAACATCCATGAGCCTTTGTGGAAAGTCATAACCAGACCGTTCAAGTCAGCCACACATAAGCAAAAAGCAGAAAAACAGCCAGGAAGAAAGTCAGCCATACACGCCAGCCGACACCTGTCCGTTCCGCCATCCGCAGCATGCGACTCATGTTTCCTCGTATACGAAGGCGGGTGTTGTCAAATGTATCATTGAGCTCTGTAATTGTCGAAGTATCCCGAATCTCCTCGCCAATAGCGAGCGTAAGCTAGATTCGATATCAGCACCCAAATATACGTAATCAATCGGATGAGGGGGTAGGAGGACTACATCTTTCAGCATCTTGACTTTTGCGCTGATACCCTCTACCTCGGCATCATTCTGCGACTCTAAATGAGATAGAACTGCATCGGAGTAGTGACCCCTGTTTCGGCATTAGTATATGTTCCATTATGACCAAAGTTACTCGTTGAAGCCTACTTCGCATTTGGCGTTGCAGCCCTGTATCCATTTCCGATAGAGGCTCCATTGTTGGGATATCCTCCATAACCATAACCACCCACTCGGCCAGGTGACCTACTGACAGGTCTGGAGTCGCCGCCATATGAGTCAAAGAGGGAAGCCGATGCGCGAGGATCACGCTGGTGAAGGCTGGAGCGTGGGAATCTATGCCATCAAATAGTTAGTCAAGGGAAATGAGGGGGATCGCGATCAACTTACCGTGAAGCCATAACAAAAAGCGAGTAGACAAGCCCAATCTTGTGGGAAGATATTCTAGGAGGCTGGTACCATGAATTGGGTATTTCCCAGATTCTAGTTGGCCAGCATCGCGTAGAGACTACACTCAAACTTACGTTGTTGAGACCTAATAAACCCGATCCCGTGGTTGAAGGCTTCTGCGGTCTGGTTGCGGCAATCAATAGACAAGTACTCCATGAAGTCCGCACTGCTTCTTGGACCCGGGGGTGACGGCGGGTTACCATAAACGGAATAGTCTTCCTATTCAGGAAAGGTGCTTTCTAGCCACTTTACAGGCGACTGAGTTGAAATATAACATCTATCGCTGGCACTACTAATTAGTGGTGATATAGTTGAAAGCGTGACTGAGTGACTAACTTACTATGTAGGTGAAGAGTCGCCTACATTTTATCATTCCCTTGGTCTTCCCAGTATGCCCTACGGTGAATCAGAGACAATTAGTGCCATACAACGATATAATAATCTACAACCGCTTTTCTATAGTCAGCGGGCCATGTGGCCTGCCATAAACATTAATTGAACTATGTTATTTGCTGTAGAGTTGAGCGCGGGGATAGTTGTATACCCTATTATACCATGGCCTTTGCTGACCCCAGCAAAACACAATATTATGTTGCGTCTTGTCAAAACTAACCTATCCCGTATGAGAGGCTATTATACCGGCCCGAGCAGTCAAGGAGAACATTGACCATGCGGATCAGAAGGTTACGCCCTTTTACAGTCACCCTCTGGTCGTTCCTGTAGACCTGGAGTCTACAACCCAATCCTGCCGAAGAAACTAATCAATGTCCCAATAAACCAGCGCCAATCACCTGCCTCTGCTTTCAAGGAGATTGTATGAGCCGTAAAGCAATCTGATTTAGTCTCGCATGTTGTCGTTCTTGATTTCAGGTTCAAAGTCTTCATCATCTTCATCATCCTCACCCTCATCATCCTGAAGCTTTTCCGCGGCGTCCTTAAAGTCGATGACCTTTCCACGTGTCCTTCGCCCTCCAGTAATGATGTTTTTGTCAGAGATTGGCTCGAGATTATCTTTGTCATCCTCATCTTCTTCTGAAGGGGAGGAAGGGTCAACATATGTTTGAAAGCTAACGCAGGTAAAGCGGAACTAAGTCCCGAGGGAGATTTCAATGTTTACCTTCCATCTAGGAAAGGAGAAACAGTCAGTTCGACTATCTTAATTTGGGTGTCGAGGGTTTCGTAAACTTACAATGTCTTCATTTTCACTCTCATCGCTTTCATTTTCGCCCATGCTCACATCCATCTCATCAAAACCCTGCGTAGTCTTGCCCTTGCCGCTGCCCAATGTCGCGATATTAGGTGCGTTAACGGCAGGATCATTGCTCAGGGTGGTAGCTAGGTTGTTATTGTCCATGTTGATAGTAGAACTGACGTGCTTGTTCACAGAGGATGATGAGGATATGAAGATGATTTGTGTGGAGCAGATATAATGTAACCTCGTAGGATTAAAATGAATGTTAGGGCAGGGGATAGAACAAGGGGAGCTTAAATAATTGCAGGAACTGTTTGTACGAGAAGAACACAACAACGTTCTCAAGTTGCAAGGGAGCCTTCCCTGGAGTTGGTGTTCGCTGATTGGCTACGAGGCTTGAGGATCAGCGGTGCTGCTCCCGTGACGAGCTTTTCCCCTTCTGGGCATGGCATCACAAACATGCTACTGAATTCGTACAATTCCCCGTCAAACTAGAAGGGGAGAGATGCAAGCTCTACCAGAGTCAATCTGAGATTACCAGGTATTCGGAGTTGAGCCAGAACAAGGAGGGTATGACAGCACTGTCCATGATTCAGCCACGTATTGGTTTTAGGGTAGCTCGAGCAAGTAGGCGTTCAGGCCACCGCTTGCCTGGTACCTCCTATTAAAACAAGATTGGGATATTCACACTGGGAAACGCAAATGAGGTCCACGACCTATAGATATCATCCATCCATGGGAACACATCAGGTAGGTGGATTATTACTTTGAGCACAGAGATTCTGTCAGTTGACAAGTGGAGCTCTATTGTCGTTATAAATTAGGTAAAGCGGCTCATAAAGGAATTTGAATGTACCTACGAGACACAGAACGAGCCAAGTCGTCGCAATACTGAGATAGAATTTACGGTACTTGGAGGAATGCTCCGTTATAAGTCTACATGTATGCTCCCGAGATACTTCTACATGGAGGTAGTGGTCTCTGGCAGGGATCCAGACTTGTCCCAGCATTAGTCAGTAGTCACCCTCATGGTTGCAATCAGCGATGACTTCATGCGAAACCTTCCGAACGCCATCGAGAGAAGATGATGTATTGCAGTGGGAATATTCCGCACATGGTGTCGATAGGAACAAGTGAACGTTATTCGTCACTCTACAGAATAGTCGATCCATGGAACCCTAAGGAATTTAACCGGTCATGATGACGGAAGGAGTATGGAATAACAGATACTATATTGAACGCTTAGGGTATTAAAAGGATGGACTAGAGATCAGAATATATTGTAATTCATGAAAGACAAAAGAATAAAAGAAAATGAGAGCGATAAATAAAGCAGGAAGGTAAAACGAATAAATCATACCCCTTATGCAGTAGTTTTGAATAAAGGCAAGGGAAAGGAAAAGAAAGAAAAGAAATGTACAACCAGTGTTCAGGTATTACGTCATCCACTATCCCCGCCAAAAGGAAGAGAGAAAAATCTAATCACAACAACAACAATAACAATAATAATAATTATATTAATTAATCCATTCAGAGCCTCTCCCAATCAAGAAATAAACACCCAGTTCACCACCCGATCTCCCTTAAGGCTACAAGTAGATGCAACTAGAATAATGGCGAACATAGGAGTAAATTCGCTCCAAGGCAATGGAAATGGCCAGAACCCCACTGGCGAATTCTGGAAGGGAAGATCCGATCAAAATCCTCGCCCGACCCGTGTGGGCGAAGGCCATCGAAGCCCATGGATGCCCGTGGAAGCTATGACTTGCTAGAAGTTTCGCTGGAGCAGAAACTCACCGCCCACCACTATATCAACTGTAGTGCTCGCACAATCTCTGCCTTCCCCTCTCTCACACATTAAATTTTTTTTTTCTCATTGACTTACTGGGTCTCATCCTCTATAGACAGGAGACAACTCTGTACATTACCTGCACACTATTTGATTCCCCCTCCGTTAACGAATTTCTTTCCTCTCTTATCACCTTTCTTTAACGAACTACCCCTCCTAGTGTTTTCACAATGGCCCCCGCTGTCGGTATCGATTTGGGTACCACCTACTCCTGTGTGGGTGTGTTCCGTGATGATCGCATTGAAATCATTGCCAACGACCAGGGTAACCGTACCACCCCTTCCTTTGTGGCTTTCACCGATACCGAGCGTCTCATCGGTGATGCCGCCAAGAACCAGGTCGCAATGAACCCTCACAACACTGTCTTCGATGCTAAGCGTTTGATCGGTCGTCGTTATGCCGATGCTGAGGTCCAGTCTGATATGAAGCACTGGCCCTTCAAGATCGTCGACAAGGGTGGCAAGCCCATCATCCAGGTCGAGTTCAAGGGTGAGGAGAAGCAATTCACTCCCGAGGAAGTCTCCTCTATGGTCCTGACCAAGATGCGTGAGACCGCTGAGGCCTACCTTGGTGGTACTGTCAACAACGCCGTTATCACTGTCCCCGCCTACTTCAACGACTCTCAACGTCAGGCTACCAAGGATGCTGGTCTCATCGCCGGTCTGAACGTCCTCCGTATCATCAACGAGCCTACTGCCGCTGCCATCGCCTATGGTCTTGACAAGAAGGCTGAGGGCGAGCGCAACGTCTTGATCTTCGATTTGGGTGGTGGTACCTTCGATGTTTCTCTCCTGACCATTGAAGAAGGTATCTTCGAGGTCAAGGCTACTGCTGGTGATACTCACCTTGGTGGTGAGGACTTCGACAACCGTCTTGTCAACCACTTCGTTAACGACTTCAAACGCAAGAACAAGAAAGGTTAGTCTTTTTGTTCCCAAATCTCCCAAACTCCCCTTCCAGAAACCAAAAATAAAAGACCAATTTACAGCATGAAGAAAACTGAATACTAACTTGGATACGCCAGATCTCACTACCAACGCACGTGCCCTCCGTCGTCTCCGTACTGCCTGTGAGCGTGCTAAGCGTACACTTTCTTCTGCTGCCCAGACCTCTATTGAAATCGACTCTCTCTTTGAGGGTATTGATTTCTATACCTCGATCACCCGTGCCCGTTTTGAGGAACTCTGCCAGGACCTCTTCCGCGGTACTATGGAGCCCGTTGAACGTGTCCTCCGTGATGCCAAGATCGACAAGTCCTCTGTCCACGAGATTGTCCTGGTGGGTGGTTCTACCCGTATTCCCAAGATCCAGCGCCTTGTCTCCGACTTCTTCAACAAGGAGCCCAACAAGTCTATCAACCCTGATGAGGCTGTTGCCTACGGTGCTGCCGTCCAGGCTGCCATCCTGTCTGGTGATAGCTCCTCCAAGTCCACCAACGAGATCCTGCTGCTCGACGTTGCCCCTCTGTCCCTCGGTATCGAGACCGCTGGTGGTGTCATGACCGCCCTCATCAAGCGCAACACCACAATTCCCACTAAGAAGTCGGAGACTTTCTCTACCTACTCTGACAACCAGCCTGGTGTGTTGATTCAGGTTTACGAGGGTGAACGTGCTCGTACCAAGGACAACAACCTGCTCGGAAAGTTCGAGCTTACTGGCATTCCCCCCGCTCCCCGTGGTGTTCCTCAGATCGAGGTTACCTTCGACGTCGATGCCAACGGTATCATGAACGTTTCTGCCGTCGAGAAGGGCACTGGAAAGACTAACAAAATCACTATCACCAACGATAAGGGTCGTCTCTCCAAGGAGGAGATTGAGCGTATGCTTGCCGATGCCGAGAAGTTCAAGGCCGAGGATGAGGCTGAGGCTTCCCGTATCCAGGCCAAGAACGGCCTTGAATCTTATGCCTACTCCCTCAAGAACACCATCAACGAGGGCAAGCTCACCATCTCTGACGCCGACAAGGAGACAGTCACCAGCAAGGTCGATGAGATCATTAGTTGGCTTGACAACAATCAGACCGCCACCAAGGAGGAGTACGAATCTCAGCAGAAGGAGCTCGAAGGGTATGTGATATGAAACCCCTTGATATCCCTACATGATTGATATGATGCTAATTGTGCTGTAGTGTTGCTAACCCTATCATCTCCGCTGCTTATGGCGGTGCTGCTGGCGCTGCTCCTGGCGGTGCCCCTGGCGGTGCCCCCGGTGGCTCCACTCGTACCGCTGACGAGGTTGAGGAGAAGCCCGAGGAGCTTGACTAAGTCGCTTGACCGACAATGTTTTTCTTACATTTTTGCTGTTTGCGGATGGGCGATCGGCTTTTAATGGTTTTGTTCCTTAATACTCTATGCTTATTTCCTTTTTAACGAATTTATGGGATTTTCTTTTTGTGCATGGTTGCATAGATCTGAGTTTCATTTCGACGCATGATGATTTGCAGAACTTGGGAGGGGAAAAGTTCCTTACGAACGTTTAATTCTTCATAAAAAAATGGTTCATGTATTGTAGAATACAGTAATGGAAACTTGCTTCTTTCGAAGAACTTGAGCACATTCGTCTTTTAACGATACTATGAGATATGGTAAATTATATACTCAGTTATTCTTTCTTTCACGCGTGGAGTCATACAACTTCTTCCAATAGGACTCCGTAAATATCGCCATCTATTCATCGGTCATAGTCCCTCAAAATCTCCCACCCACCATCTGCGTAGCCTCCTACCTCCCATCTGCAAAACCTCGCCGTATCTGATTTCCTGGGCCTTTTCAGGGAATTTCTCGCGCTGGTCCCGACAGACTCTGAGGAAGGCAGCAGAAACTCCTATTGTGAAGGCGAAAATGGGGTCACCAACTCTGTGTATTCGCCCAAGTTAACAGTATTAGTATTCGCCGATGTTCAAAACCAGCTACGTCGGTTCATGCAGTATGGATAGTGTTTGGATTGAGACGATGGATTTCCGACGTACTTCGAAATTAGGTAGATTGGCATATCTGCTGCTGTCTCCCGCTAAGCAGGGTATGTCCAGTTTGTTGAGATAAGACAACTGGGAGGATTCCAGTCGCAAAAGATACAATGAAGTAGTGATTGTCGATCACGTGATACTCCTTTATGTCTTAAGGGCTTGTGGCCTTTGCCAATGTATAAACAAATCAGAAAAAGCGCTTTACGTGACCCCGGTATATCTTACACGTGTGCTTAGAATCCCAAAATCTATTTATATTTATCTCCTTTAGCTATCAGATATGGCGATGTAATAATTAAGCGGAGTTCACTTTTGTGACCAAGATCTTACCCATAACTCGATCATGCTAAAAAAAAAAGCATCTATCAAAATACAAAGGGCCTGACAGCATGTTCTATCATGGTACAAATAGCCGCACGAAAGAGTAAAAAAAGAAAAAGAAAAAGCCAAATATCTAAAGCCTGCTATTAATATCAATCCATGCTCTTCTCGTTTATACGACCTGGCCAAACGCGGGAATCAACGTCTGAGCCAGCCAGAAGCTGAAAACGAGCTTGGGCCCGGTCATGAGCAGCTTGGGTGTGAGACCCTTGAAGAAACTGGTCAGGCCCTCGTTTTTCACCATGTTCGACACAATGCGGAAGCCAGACTCTGGGTTCTCGAAATTGCGGTTCTGGATACGAGTCTTGATCACATCAAGGGGAGCCGACACGATCAGAGAGGCACTGGCACCACAGACAGATGCCACAAAATTCTGCGCCCAGGAAGCCGAATTATAATCCTGCAAGTTATAGATGTACTCCTTGGCGAAGGCTGAACCACCAAACAGCTTTATTACAAATTAGCATCTAAGCATAATCGACAAGGTTGTCAATGGTCATAAGCATACCGCGAAAGACCCAGGTGCATTGCGAGCAGCGGTCCAGCCAGCGCCGCGGTAAAGTCCCATGCCTTCATCGGAGATAATCTTGAAAAGACCCCGACCACGGAAGGCCTCGGGATTCGTCTGACGCTTAATCTTCAGGACATCCAAAGGAAGAAGGACGATTTCACCGATACCGATCAAACTAATTGAAATATTAGCAACTGTCTACATGTCTGAATGTCTCCTAGTGAGGGAACAACAAACCTTCCGGCGGTAGCATGCATGATGGCCTTACCTGTCCCTTTTCCAAAAGTATTATCGAAGTCGGCACCATGATGTTTCGCCAGGTAATCCCTTGCGAATGGCTGGCCACCATATTTGTAGATTCGTTGCAGAACCTGCCGATACCAATTAACCGATTGTGACACGTGCCCGCGTCTAATCTGCTTTACATACCTTGTAGCCAGCGGCGTAACCAAGACCAGGAAAAAGCGAGGTGAACTTGCGCCCAAGGGAGGCGTTTGCATACTCTTTGAAAACGACCTGTTTCATACCATCCATTGACGTGATCTAATCCCAAATACAGTCAATAAACATGTGATAAGTAATATGGAAAACGGTGGTATTTACCCGGGTCTGATTGCTCATCAATCGCTTTGCAGTTGTATCAACCTTTTAAATAGCATCAGCGTCAATTCGAAGCACCGGAGACCATTTAGAAGAGGTAAATCATGTAATGAGTTCATCATACCGGATGGAAAACCAGCAGCTCCGCAATTCCAGCGGTTCCTGGTGTGTTATCTTAGCAGCCGAACAGTTCATGGGCCAAGGACATAACACTTACCGGAACCCAGAAGTCGAGCAGTCGCGGATTCCCTCTTGACATCTTTGGAGGCAGAGCCGGCCTGAGCAATGGCGGGAGACATTTCTTTATCTTTTCTTCCCAATAAGTTGTGCTGGCGAGTAGTGGACAAAGTCGTTGATAGTTGAATTTTTCTTCAATAGAACTTTTTTTGAGTGAAAAGGCCGTGACAAAGCGATCAGATCAAAGACAAGCGACAAGGCGTGCGCTTAAGATAGCAGAACCAAAGCAGTGCAAGCAAACGAGAAGGAGAGAAGAATTTGGAAAGGGGCAAAAGCAAAAGAACTCCAAGGACGTGAAGAGAAGATGCAGATTCCCAGTCAGTCATCGTCTGTTTTGCGCCGAGTCGGACTTTCCTCAAGGCCTGCCGGCGTTGAATTAAACACTAGTCCCAAATAGGACTGGGCTATCGGCATTCATATCGGAGGGACGGGTTAGTAATCCCATGTCTAAACTATGTTATGTAACGGATACGTTCCATATAGTAACTATGCTCTACCGATTCATAATATCCGTGATCATGTCGCAAGGCGTGTTTCACTACTTATCTTCAATTCAACAGCCACATCAGCATGCAAAAGAAGCGTGTTACGTAACGCAGCCTGATATAAAGATGAAAGTATCACTACCTGTCAGTACGTATCACCAGATAATCACATCAAAAGTAGTTTTGCATTTTAACCATAAAGTGATAAGTCTTTGCCAAGAGGTCATCAAGGGAATACGGAACACCTGATACTAACGCCTGCACACATGAAGAATCGCCACAAGGTCTAACCAGCTCGTTTGCCTCATACCGGAGTGGCTGGTCACACATCCGGCCCCAAAACAAAACACATACTGACGGTGGAACAGTTACAAAGCTTGAGAGAGCGGCTGACCAGAGCTTAAAGATCGCCGAAGGTGTTTTCCCCGGAATATCTAGAGAGTATATCAGTATGTGCCGAAAACCGCCCTTGAAGAATAAGCATACGTGATGTACAGAAAGCCATCTTCATCCTTGTGTTCTTCGTAGATACTGCTCATAAGTGCAGCTGTTGGTGGTAGCACCTCGTCGACGAAGATGAAGATAGCCTTCTCAGGAGACAGCTTGATGCGCTTGCGGATAACATAGACGAACTGCCCGACGGTAAGGTCTGCAGGAACAAGATACTTCTTCTTATCAATGGTGGCGATGTCCGACTTCTCGACTTTCTCACAGATTACCTACAAGTGAAACTCGAGTTAGCATTCTAAACAAGCGGTGAGTAGACACTTTGCTTCTCCGAAGAGCAGCTCAAGGACAAAGAATCATGCACAAAGTACGGATTCAGATGGAGTTATACGTACTGGAATGCGATCAGCGTATTTCTGACGGATACGCTCGGCTTCTGCCTTGCGCTTCTCAAAGGGGTGCTCGTCCTTGAACTTGGAGCGCATATTGATGGATCAAATCGGTTAATGGAAACAACTAGGTCGGTTTACTATGGGTACTAGGTACGTCAACGAGATATACGTAGATGTTATGAGTTGCAGAAAGATGTAAATGAGATGGTTGGTGTAATAGTTGAGCAAGTAGAAAGAAGGTGGATGATGACAAAAGGGAGAGCAAAGCCCCGCGTCATGGGTAGTTCCACGGCTGATAAGGTCGTCAGGCAAGAGCGGATCACGGGGCGGAGGCGGTGAGCAACCCCACACGTGAGTCACGGTCAGGTGCCCCAAATCATCCCATTAACTGGGCTTGCTTTGATTTGATTTTGTCATTTTCATATAAAGGCCAAGTCAGGTAGCTCGTGAACACACGTCATATTTTCACGTGGGGAGCCTGGGTGTCCCGATGATGCCCTACTATGTACGGAGTACACTGTACAAAGATAGCTTGTAGCTGTGGGCAGGCGTCCGCCTCCACCTGATCAGCGGCTAGACTGCGTACTGGTGCGTGCTGTCTCCATAGAGGCTCTTGATAGGCTCTGCTCCTGGAGTTTGTAGTCGGTATTACAATCATGGTCAACTTTCAAGAGTATGTATAGACCCAATTCCATGGTAATTCTCACTCTACCTGGTATCATTTGCAACGTGACAGTCATAACTCTACATACATCCATCATGATGGTTCCACGAGCCCAGTACTAGCCAATCCTCCAAGTGATGCAAACAAGACAAACTATTTATTTCGGCGCTTCTGACTAAACAGGAAGAGGAATTTGTGCCAAACAATCCAAACAGCATATATCCGGATCTTTTGACTACGGGTGGTCCCATACAGTTCCGGTCCAGAGAAGGTAACCTCACGATTAAGTTACCTATATTTCTTGAGATAGGTGGAGCCATTTGAGAGAGCGTGCGCCCACTCATATTGTTCCGGCACCACCTGATCCCTCCACATATCAGCCAATTTTCAATTCCATCTTACAAAATCATGGCCATGTCCCGGCCATATATGCCTCTTCGGAGGTCACTCTGCCACTTCTCATCGCAGACCAGACACACACCTTGTAACTTTCAGCATACATTTCGCAGATACTCAGCGGAACGGCGAACCCGCGAACCGAAACCGTTTACCGTGTGGAGGCCATACCTGCGGTTGGCAATTGGCGTCCCATTCATCGGAGCTCTGATATATTCCATGGTAAACATGTTTCGAGGCCAAGCGGCACCTTTTCATTGTGAATTTCGGTCTAACAAATGATATAGATGACAGGTGAAGTGACCGAACTCGATTCCCCGTCGATCGTGGAGCTCGATGCAGCGTTGAAGAAACAAGCAACAATTAGCGAAAACTCTCCAATGCGTTTACGAATGGAGAAATTGATCAAAGAACACCAACATAAAATTGTAGATGAGTTAAGCAGGATTGACGGTACTCAGTTCAAAACGGACACCTGGGCACGTCCCAATGGGGGTGGCGGCATATCTTGTGTTCTCCAAGATGGCAATGTTTTCGAGAAAGCAGGTGTCAATGTATCGGTTGTCTATGGTGAATTGCCCCGAGCTGCTATTGAGAAAATGAGGGCAGATCACAAGTCATTTGTCGGCGCAGACGTGGAATCTTTGGAGTTTTTCGCTGCCGGCTTATCGCTGGTTCTGCACCCCCATAATCCCATGGCACCAACAGTCCATCTGAACTACCGCTACTTTGAGACGTCAGATCCTAAGGATCCTATCAATGGAGATAAGAATTGGTGGTTCGGCGGTGGTACAGACTTAACCCCTTCCTACCTGTTCCCCGAAGATGTCAAGCATTTTCACCAGACTATCAAAGACACCTGCGATAGGCATGATGCAACATATTACCCTCGATTTAAGGCCTGGTGCGATAAGTATTTCTACCTTCCGCATCGCCGAGAGTCTCGCGGTGTTGGTGGTATCTTTTTCGATGATCTTGACGCCAGTTTCTTGGGGTCGTCCGCCACCTCATCACAGAATTCTCAGGAAACTCTATTCTCATTTGTCTCCGATAGTCTTGCTTCCTTCCTTCCCTCCTATGTTCCTATTATTGAACGCCGAAAGGATATGCCATTCACACCTGCTCAGAAAGAATGGCAGCAGCTTCGACGTGGGCGCTATGTCGAATTCAACCTGGTTTATGACCGTGGCACCAGCTTTGGCCTGCGCACCCCCAACGCTCGTATCGAAAGCATATTGATGAGTCTCCCTCGAACCGCAAGCTGGGCCTATATGGATCCGGTGTCAGGAACCCGGACCGAGAGTTCTATGGAGGAAGAGAATCTGGGCGAGGACAAGGAGCGTGAAAAGGAATTAATGGATGTTCTCAGACATCCCAGGCAATGGGTGTAAGCCGCCCTCTTATTATTGTAACCAAAATTTTAGATAAAATCTTCCCCTCACCTGTAAAATTTAGTATTAAGTGTGTTTATAGAAGTCAATTGGAAACTCTGTCATTTCTTTGATCTATATCCTTGTTGGTATATCTGCACAGGATTTGAAAACCAGACGGCTGGCCAATGGCATATAAAGATGCCCTCTTCGAAACCGAGGGTATGTTCTATCGTAAAATATGGCCTGTGCTGTCTTAACGAATACTAGTAACAAGAGTTAAAGTAATAAACGACGGTGATACAATCTAAGGGAGACGTATTTGTAGACAAATAAAAGAGAAGAAGCGCAAGGCATAAAACAAGACAATTTTGTAAGAGTATATATGTTTATAAGGGCCAGTCTTCGAATTAGGACGTACCAGTCATCCTAACGACCAGTTACTAAGCTCCTTTGCCTCGCCAACCAGCCTTTCTGGGCATCGGCCAAACTCGAACCGTGACGATACCTCGAAACGGGAACATTATTGTTCTGCAGTCGACTTTGCATCTCATACCAGGCGGAGCTCATAAGAGCAAGCTCTCGCGTCTGAGCGTCGATTATCGTCTGAAGTTCGATCTGCGTATATTATGACGATTTAGCAAAAGGAAAGAAGCCGGGGTGAAGGGAGGGGCCCAAAAATTATCAATTCATGAAACAACGTGGAATTGAACAAAATTAACGTATCCGCTTACCTCGCGATCCTTTGGTATGCTTTCATCCGCATCGTCCTCGAAAGGTTTCAGTCGCTCCTGGAGGAACTTAATGTGTTCGTTTTGGTTGTGGATATACTGCAAATCATGTATCAGTGCCAAGTTTCGGCGTGTAATAATAGTGTTCTAGGGTTGGTTCCACTGACCTCAGCACGTTGTGCCAGTCTCTCTAGGTTCCGCTCAATAAGTTCAACGACTTGTTTCGTGAGTTCCATTCCAGACTTCTGAGAAGCTTCAGAGGCACCACCACTTTCCTGTGCCGCGATCTCTGCTAGTAACTTTTTCATTTCCTCCATAGTTTCTTGGTCCTCCACGCGACTTTCAGCAATCTCAACCTGTCTGTTGTCAAGCATTGTCCGCAGCTCATCCCGTTCAGCACATGTTTCTCTGGCCAAGGCCAAACTAGCGTCAAGTTCAGCTTGGAGAGTATGTACTTTCTGTTTGATTTCATCCGATTCGTCGCGCAGTTTGGTTGATTCCACTAAATCATTCTCTTTGATCTCATTAATCATGACTAGCTTCTCCTTGCTCGCAAGCAAAACTGTCAAATAGTAAGTAAACATGCGATTAAAGTTCTTCTAAGTTGAGGTAGACCCTTACCGGCTGCTTGCGCATCGGCAAGCGCTCTGCTAGACTTGTCAAAAGAGTCCTGTACTTCTGCAAGTTTCTTGAGTACGGAAATATACTGATCATACAGCTTCCAATATTCGTCACTGAAAATCCCGTTAGCGCTAGTAGCTAGGAGATATGCGATTGAGATACCCCTGTGTAGAATTTTTTCGGGCCCTCTGCAGGGTTTCGCTGAAGGCATTGGAAAATCCTTCATGCTGAGAATTGACCTGTAACAATATCAGCCGATCCCACCCCTGTATACAGTCCCGAGGCATAAATTACAGTGGTTGACGACCCCTTCAAGGATTCGATCTCTTTCTTGAGCTCCTCATTTTCGGTTTTCCTACAGCGCGGAGTCAGCCCATACTTGAAAGCTAAGATAGGGATCCCTAACAGTTGTGATTCCTTAACGCCAATGTCTTCGAAGTCCTTTTGTAGCGTGCCCTGCAGCTTTGGCGTTTCGCTGCCTGGTGTAAGAGCTGGGCTCCCAGGGGAGCCTTCAAGTTCTCGAATCCGTTCTCGTAGCTCACTTATAAGTGCATCATCTCTCTCACGCTGTTCCTCAGCACTGCTAAGTCGCTCTGTCAAGGCGTGGTTATTGAATTCAAGTTGTTTCTTCAAACTCTGCATTTCACTGCATTCCTGTTCGATTCGTGGCAAGACTCGTCTATATTCTTCGAGCTCAACATCACGTTCTGACGTCCATCTTTGCTGCGAATCTGACTCTTTCAACTGCTGCTGGAGGTCTTTAATCTGATTCTTGAGCGTCTGGTTTTCCTTTTCAAAGTCCTGACTGGCTTGTAGCTTTGACCGATATTTCTCTGCGGCATTAGCCTTCCGAGCGAGCTGGTCTCTTTCTGTTTTCAACTCATCATAGTCATCCTGCAGCCTCTGGAACCGTTCGTTTTTCACGCGCAAGGACTCCACTGTCATTCGCAGGCTGTCAACCTCATCCTGCGCCGCGGCGAGCCGAACCTCCTGGGATGCGATAATGTCTTCCTGCTGGCGAGATTTAGACTCCAAGGCTTTTGTATTGAAACCAAGGTCGCCTTTGCCGGACTTCAGGTTTCCTAGTCGATCCTCTGTTGTCGCGAGGCGGCTCTGAAGAGTATCGTTGTTTTCTTGAAGGCGTGCCAAACGGTTATGTAGGTCTTCCAGTGCCTTCTCGAGCTCCTTCTTCTCATGAGTCAAACGGTCATTCTCAGCAAGCACTTTCCCTACTCGTTCCTCGAATTGCAGCTCTAGATCGACCGGATGTTCCCGTTTGGACAAATCCTCTTTGATCTCGTCCACAGGGTCAAGGGGCTCGTGTTGGCCATTCTCAGCTTCTTCAAAAATATCTTTCAGGGACTCCTGAGTCGGAGTGCTCAGTGTTTGGAGGGTTTCCACGTATGACGGCGCGTTCGGCGAACGGATAGCGGCGATTAAAATGAGCTTGAGGAGTTTGTTGGTTTCCTTGATTGAACTCTTTTCAGCGACCACTTCCAGATTTGGAGCCGGATCTAATCCAGAAGGGATCCCGTCGGGTTGTTGGCGGATATAATTGACCAGCGTTTTGAGGATGTGTTTCAAGTTCTGTAGTTTGGACAACCAGTGGTCCGACGGATTGCGCTGCGGGAGCTCATCGAGGAAATATTGGGGGTCGATATCTTGTAAGACTTCCCAAATGATAGTCCCATCCGTCAATTCATCGGTCGTTCGGATTGTTTTGCCAAGGGCGAAACTATTGATCCATTCCAACAGGGCCTGTGTGATAGTGTGTTCGGAAGCCATGTTTGCCTAAGAGGCAGTTGTGTTGGGGAATGCTTCAGGGGTCAAATGACAAGACTTCAAAGCGATGGGCGATGAGATCGTACGTGAAATTGCATTCTTTTGAAACAAAACGGGGCAGATCGGTTGACGAGTTACCGGCAAAGACCTTGAAGGTGTTCTTTCGCAGTTTCGCGGGATTCCAGGTGGGATCCACGCTACGCGCATAAATAGATTATTTAGTATAACTTAAGTAGCTCTAAGCCGCGGAGATTTGGAGAGTTTGTGGGGGGGGTTGCTTCTACTACAGGAATAGTAACTAGTGCCAAAATTTTCTTTCTTTTTTCTAATGTTCTCTGCAGTACTTCTCTGTCGCACTACTATTTACCGCTGACAATTGTTAAAAGAAGAGCATACGGTTCCGCCCAATTTGTTTTCTCTCCTAACGGATGGGTCATGGAAAGGCAGGATAAATATCGACCATAGTAGGAACACGACCCGTACGAATACCATCTATTACACGCACAACAATAGCAATTTCGAAGCGCTACTAGGGCTACAGGATTTTAAATACCAACGCAACAATTTCCATAAGGTCATAACCAATCCAAACCCGTTATTCGTTAGACCTGCTCATATTGGCTCCTGGGATCCAACGGGAACGAATAAGTAGTTCCGAGGCTAGCAGAGGCCGTTGGGATATGTGGGGGGAGCTTCTTTACGAACTCCGTGGCTCTAATCACTACTGTATAGACACTGGGAGGTCATTCTCAATTGTCGGATTGTACTTGGCAGATTGGACTGAAATTTGCTGAACCGCCGATTCAGGAGCGTCAGCCGAGAAGCCACTTTTAGACACTGTCAGAATATGCCGCTGAGAGTGAGCGATAGGAGAAGGGAAGAAATACTTGATTAACTCTAGACACAAGGAAACGTATTAGTCCTTGATGCGCATATAATCAATCGTTTATCGGGAGAGATTCATGGGTACTAACGAAACCTATGAGTGATACGTCCACCCTAGGAATGAAAACAATCAGCATGCCAAGTCAGTACAGAATCTGTTAAGGTCCACAACATACGGCATCGATGACAGACTTCATTGCGTTCTCTAGGACAGATGGAGGGGTGTCTTTAGGATAAGTGACCACAATTGGATTGGCAAAAGACAGAGACAAGCATCCGAGAAACAGAGTGGGAAGTGACTTCATCTTGATACGGCACCCCCCTGTAAAGAGACCGGATGTCCTGAAGTAAATACCAGATATAGATAGGGAAGCTTGAGGAAGAAACTAAGCAGAACAAAAGTTGTCTGATACTAGCACTTGGTAAACTGATTCACCTTCCTGTTGCAATGCAACCTTGAATCGGCAACTGCGTCATTAAACGGCAGCTGACTCAGCGGTCAGATTAGTTAACCCAAATTAACTAGTTAGCGTCCTTTTCCTCGAAACAATCTTCATTGACGTCCGATAACCGTTCCAATCGTCAATTCTTACCCTTGTTCCACCCCTCTTGTTCGTTTCTATCCTCGTTCTCCCTCTTCGTCTGAGCCTTTGATTTTCATGATTTCCTATGCCCTTCTTGTTCCTTTATTTGATGGGCATATTCTAGGATTCATTCCTTAAGCTTTTCAATTTGCATTCGCGGGCTACTTTTGTTGAGCGGCAGTCTTCTTGAGCTGCGACATTGCCTGGAGTCTTGCTCTGGTAATCCAGATAATCTTACACAGCTTCTACATACCGTTCAGGGTCCTTTTGCTAGTCGTTGCTTACTGGAAGGGTCAATCGGCGCAGGGGATCATATGAGGTAGACTTGACAGACAAAAACTGGGATTCGGGCGGTCTTCGAGGGTTCTTTTCTTATTCTGATTTTGGGCGGAGGTCTTGCATCCTCGTGTTGTTCTCTCAAACCTGACGAAGGTAGCTAGCAAGCATTCTACAAGTTTCGACATCTCTTTCCATCTCTTGCTCTTTCAGGAGACTGTTATTCTTGGAAATCAGAGGGGAGAATAAGAAACCTATATACGATAAATTTGAAGAAAAACAGAGAAAAGGAAGGTTATTCAAGAGGAGCAAGAAAGAAAAGAAGAACAGAAGAAAACAGGGAGAAAGAGAGGGGACAGAGAGATTGATCAAGATCTGTGCAAAGCACAAGAACGTGGAGAGACAAAGGAAGAGAAGGAAGAAAAAAAAGCCACAGAAGAACCAAAAAGAAGAGAATAATAGCATTGAGTGTGACCAATTGGCACTCGTGAATTATACAGTGCTTCACCCAGCCTCATCTCATCCCCTATACCTCCCTTCGAGATCAGCATCCACCTGTGTATTTGTCATCATGTCGTCAGGACTAGCCTCTGACGAAGTCGCTGAGGATTACAAGAACTCATTGGAAGATCTAACAACAAACGACAGGTTCCAGATCAGCAATCTAACGGTTATAGCGAAGGAGAACACCGAGCATGCCATGGCCATCTCCCGAGTATTGGAGAATCACATTCGAACAGTAGGTGGCATACTCTTTCCCAGATTATATACACTTGCTGGTGTTGTATTTTGCAAGGCGCACTGCCGGCAGTAGTCTTTCTGGATGAACTTCTAATCTTTGTTCTGTAGACGCCGCCGGCCCAGAAATTGCCCGCCTTGTATGTAGTCGATTCAATTGTCAAAAATGTAGGGACGCCCTACACACTTTTTCTGGGTCGGAATATGTACCAGACATTCATGAATGCCTATACCTTGGTCGACTCGCCAACTCGCAGAAAACTGGACGAAATGCTCAAAACATGGAAGGAGTCGGTCCCCGGTTCTCTAGATACGAGGCCAGTCTTTCCTCCGGAAGTTACTCGCGGCATCGAAAGTGCGCTCATCAAGGCGAGGACGGCCGCCCTGCAGCAGCAGCAGGCGAGGAGCCAACAGGAAGTCCTTACTCGTGGGCGTGTTGGGACACCCCCAGGCTGGGGAAGTAACAGCGCCACAGCTCAGGGTTCTACTCGTTATCCACCATCCACAAATCCAAGCCCGCCTACGCTTTATCACAGGAATGGGTCCGGTCATGGGTTTCCATCGGTAAGCTGTCATCATTTTGAATGTTGCCATATGATTATTGCAATGAAGTGTCTTAACACATTCAACAGGCAGACCCGCGATCAACTCCAACACCTCAACTTCAGCAACAGCAACAGCAGGATGTGGACCTCTCAGCTTTAAATCGGGATATAGAGACTTTAATTACAACTGCTCGAAGCGATTTCGCGAATAATCCCCTCGACCCTTCTGTACAGCAACGGTTAAAGGCTCTTCTAGACCTCCAGGGTATCTTGCAACGCCAGGAACTTACTCAGGAGCAATTGAAGCTTGTGCGCGATCAGGTTTCTGCGCTTTCCCCAAAGCCCCCGACTTCAGTTTCTTCGACTGTACCCCCTGCTATTCCAGCGGTGTCAACACCATCGATGGCAATGCCTCCTGTGCAAGCTATTTCTCAGCCTCTTCAGCAGCTTCTAAACCCCGGGACACTTGCTGAGCTTATCAAATCCACTACTGCGCGCCAGCAGCCTACGCCACCGCCCCAGGCTCAGAGTATCTTGCCACAAGCACCTAGTAGTGTGGCATCGCAGCCAACTATTACTTTGACCCCGGAGAACCCACTCATTGCAGCGCTGAGAGCACGGGGCCTTTTACCCCCTGCTTCGGCACCTCCAACAACGTCCGCTACCCCTTCCTCAAACCTCGCTTCGGTCTTTCCTTTCATTGTGCCTGGCCAAGTGCGATTTACACCTCCTGTGCCAACACCTCAAGTGACGGATACTTCGAATGTACAAATTAATGTCCAAATGAACACGGCGTCTATCAAAATGTAGGTTATGCTTATGTTTAATGATCCCGACGCCTCTGACATGAGTCACAGACCACGAAACGCCTTCATAGCTACTCTCTATGAGTCAAAGCCCAATCGTTGTGGGACTTGTGGGCGTCGATTTTCCGCAACAGAGGATGGGAAAGGAAAGAAAGCGCGCCATCTAGACTGGCACTTTCGAACCAACCAGCGGATGGCAGAGGCGGCCAGGCGAGCTCAAAACCGCAGTTGGTATGTTGACGAACGGGTTAGTCTTCTCTTCAAAGTTACCGGATTTGAGTTGCTGTTCGACTGACCCTCAGTAGGATTGGATCAAATCCCGAGAGGTGGGCGATGATGAAGGCCTTGTAGACACAGAAACATCCGGTGAGGCTGTAAATGGAGGTGATGGTGGTTCCGCGACGAAAGGGCCGCCGAAGCAATGGATACGTGCTCCAAACGATGCCACTCTACGGAATACTCCCTGTCCTATTTGCCAGGAGAAATTCGAGTCAACATGGTCGGAGGATGTTCAAGACTGGATATGGCAAGATGCCGTCAAGGTTGGGAATCGCGTGTACCATGCTAGTTGCTATGCAGAGGTGACCAAAGACGGTTCCACGCCAGCACGCCGGGGTACTCCATCGGGGCGTACTGGAACTCCAGACTCCGTATTAGGCAAACGAAAGGCTGAGGTGAGTTTGCTAGAAGTGAAAAGAAAATTGAAGACTCCAGAGACTGACAATGTGCGCTAGGGAACTGATTCCCCTGGCCAAAATGCCCGGGTCAAGTTGGAGCCAATGTAAGGAATATCGTCTGGTCGAGAGGACTAGGATTTGCATTGTCTACTTAGTCCGATCAGAAATCTGTGCCTCGAGCCCATCTTCCTTACCCCTAATTTACTTCCCCCCTTTTCTTTTCTTTTCTTTTCTTCCTTTCTTTTGCATTAGGACAGAGTCCGTACGGCGTCGCGGATCTATCTTCACAATCATGTGCTCCAACAATTGGAGTGTTTTGTATATATACATAGTAGCCAACATTTACTGGGACCTGCCTAGACTTGAAGCCCCAAGTCGAACCATAGCTCATCAATATAGTTCATCTTTCCCATCCGATAGTGTATTCTACTGTACTGTATTGTACTCTCCTCCGTATTTTGTAGGTTCCGCGACGGGGCCGCGGGCAAATGACGGCGGAAATATTGTGGAGCACTCGTTTCTTTACTCCGCTATAGACCCTCCTCAGTACTACAGTTGCATTGCGTCCCATTATAAATCCACTACACCCTTTTTCCTCCAATGTTCTGATCGGCTGTTGAATACTCTACCTATACACCCTCTTCGGTATTATTTTCCCATCATCTACTCCTCAATAACATACATCCAGCATAATACATCGCCTCACATCATGGCTCCACATAACGTTCGGTGGGGTATCATGGGTAAGAGAACCTTGGCACAGCAGCAATCGATGATAACTAACGGCATCCTTTGGAAACTTTTATAGCCACTGGCTGGATTGCAAGTGGTACGTTCTCAAGCAATCATTTTTCTATCCCCGCCTTCCGCCAACAAAAAAGAACACCCAGCTAAATAGAATATGTGTTAAAACAGTCTTCGTAAGGGACCTCTTGAGAGATCCTAATGTCCGAGGTGCATCTGATGTCTCCCACACAGTTGTTGCAGTTGCATCATCTTCCTCCAAGTCCCGTGCAGAGGATTTTATCTCGGATACAGGCATTCCTGCTCCCTGCGCTGCCTACGAGTCCTATGGGGACCTCGTGGCCGACCCAAATGTAGACGTCGTATACGTTGCAACGCCTCACTCGCACCACTTCCAAAACGTCATGCTTGCTTTTGAGGCGGGTAAACATGTTCTATGTGAAAAAGCTTTCACTGTCAATGCCGCCCAGGCAAAGATTCTCTGTGAGACAGCGAAAACGAAAAATCTCTTTTTAATGGAAGCCGTCTGGACTCGGTACTTCCCACTTAGCGTACAGATCCGGGAATTAATTCAGAATGGCATTCTTGGTGAGGTACTACGTGTGCTGGCGGATAATAGCTTCGGAGATGACATGGAAGAAAAATGGGGTATTGAACATCGGATGGTTAATAAGGATCTGGCTGGCGGGGCGTTGCTTGACTGTAAGTTTTCCTGTCTTAATCGTATGCATATATCTACCCTTCACTTGATGGGCTCAATGCTCTTGTCATTTTCGGCACATCGCGAAGTGTCACCACACTGACTCCAGCTTGCAGTGGGTATTTACTCCTTGACCTGGGTCTTTCAGGCTCTGTATCACACTCTTCCCCGCGAGTCGCGCAAGGCACCCTCACGAATCTCATCGCACATGTCCCTTTACCACCTCACTGGTGCTGACGAGGCAACCTCCATTTTACTTACTTTCCCCACCAGCACCCCGTCCAACCTTCCTCACCTAGGTGAATCGCAGGCAGTGGCTATGACACATCTCCGAGTGTCGACCAATGCCGACGACAAGCCCGTCCAGCCCTCCGTCCGCATTCAGGGCACCAAAGGTGAGATCCAGGTATACGGCCCTGCGTTCCGGCCGGAGCGGTACCGGATTGTCTCAAAGGGTGAGGGGGAAGTCAAAGATGTGGAATGTTCATTCCCTGGTGACGGAAAGGGCATGTACTGGGAGGCGGACGAGGTCGCACGGTGCTTGCGGGATGGTAAGCTTGAAAGTGATAGCATGCCATGGGAGGAGAGCATCATCATTATGGAGGTCATGGATGAGGTCAGACGTCAGGGTGGATTGGTTTATCCTGAAAACATTGAATCCATAGTCTACCCTACACGGCTGTAAGAGGCGGTCTGTATCGTGTGGGAGAACAAGCATACCTTTGTTCAGAAGTGTGTAAATATCCTTAGTACTAACGATTATATAAATAAAATGTACTGGAGTTAAATTAGAAAAAGAGAGGGACCGTCTAAAGCAACTTATATTTTAGGTTCCGAGATTAGCTACTATACATAAAACCAAATCTCCGCCGAAAACAGCCCTGGTACGGATATCCGAAGGATACAAGTCCATGTATAAAAAAAAGAATCTCCCCAGAAGGATCAAATAAGGCGGCAGACCATTTGTTTTAAAACTTTATACCCTATCACCTTTTGTTGGCCTCCCCGATGGAGGGACGCTTACCCCTTAGCGAAAGAAAAGAGAATCATTACATTTATTTGTTCTGCCGGAAAACGCCGAGGAGGCTCTTCCACACTTGACCCGGTTCCTGGCTAGCATCAATTCCCCGCCAGATACCAGTCTTTTTATAATAATCCACGACAGGGGCGGTTTGGGCATGGTATGTTCCAAGACGCTTCTTAAGGGTCTCAGCATTGTCATCAGATCGCTGAATGAGAGGCTCGCCGGTGATATCATCCTTCATTTCCTCTTTAGGCGGATTGAACACCTTATGGTAGGAGCGTCCTGAAGCCGGATGAACTAGGCGTCCAGTGATTCTTGCTACCAACAAGGCATCATCGATCTGCAGCTCGACGGCATGCTGGAGTTTCTGTTGACGGACAGCAAGCATATCATCCAAGCGCTCGGCCTGAGCAACGGTACGAGGGAAGCCATCTAGGATGAAACTGGGCAGACAAGTAGTCAGTATGTGTCGATGAAAAAGTTCGAAGCCCTTTTTTTTCTTTCTTTCTTTCTTTCTTTCTGTCTGTCTCTTATACGAACCCGTTCTTGCACTCTGCGTTGTTGTCCAGCTCGCTCTTAATCATGTTGACCATGATCTCATCACTGACTAGACCACCCTGATCCATGATCTTCTTGGCCTCTTTGCCCAGCTCAGTCTTCTTGGCGACCTGAGACCGCAACATATCTCCGGTAGCCTACTCAGTAAATATAAGTCACAGAGCCTTTCGATAGATACCAGCAATCAATCTATCAGTCAGCTACTTACCAAGTGGCACACACAGTACTTGTCCTTAAGTGCAGGTGCCTGTGTGCCCTTGCCTAGTTCAAGGGCGGGTCAGAATTCCGAAGCATTTTAACCCGAAGATATCTGGAATAGAAAATTTATAGAGCATACCTGCACCAGGAGGACCCATCAGAACCATGCGCATCTGTTCTGCAACAGACTTCGGTTTAGAATCATTGCTTAGACGGCTCTCCAATTCCTCAACCCGAGCCTCGAGCTTGCCGATAATATCCTTAAGACCGGAAACGGCCTCTTCCGTGATAGGAGCCATTGGGATAGTTTGAAGCGGAGAGTAAAAGGGGTAGTATTGTAGAAGTGCTCTCCGGGGAGGCCTAAGTCGGACTCGGTGTGGGAAATAGTATAGGGATTAGGAATGGAATGGGGAGCAATGACGGGTAAATGGAAAGGTCGGAGACGTCTGTTGGGGATGAAAAGAGGTTAACGGGAGGCGGAGTATCGCACCCGCTTCTCCGAGGTTTAAAGATCCGCCGGCAAGTGCCGTACTCGCGGTGCTTGACCGGAATTTCTTCATTCCCAGGGTATCGGTGAAATAAACCACGTCGGAAAATTTGAAGTTCAATATGTATTGATTTATATCCAACCTGAGTCCGAGCATAAATTGCAATTAGTCAATTGTGACCCTCCGTTTCAAAAGCCGTAGCGGGTATTGTGAAGACACGTGTCTGTAGGAAGCCTTAGGCAACAAGGTTAAATGTGTGGCTACAGGGATAACTAGGAGCTCATCAGCCTCATTGATGTGGCTCAAGCAGGGTCGGAGCTCACTCAGCTTCACCTCCGTCATCATCAGCCTTCCTCTAATCATCATCATTCCTTCTTCCCACTCAGGACTTTCGCTCTCCGAGGCTTTCTTTTCTTGTCACCCATATCACGCATAAGTCTGACTTTTGTCTCAATCTCACATCTACTTAATAACTAGTTCCCGTGTCGTCTGATTCCGCCATGCCTGCCACCACGGCGGACACCCTTTCCCTCGTCACGCGAACCGTCACGGTTGCCCCGTTAGTGCTCCTCTCAGTCGCAGATCATTATGGTCGCTCGGCCAAGGGAACTCGCAAACGTGTGGTTGGAGTATTGCTAGGGGAGAACTCGGGTCAAAATGTTCGAGTATCAAACAGCTTTGCGGGTATGTTTCGCTGTTGATTATTAGTTACTATCTCTGCTCCACTTGTCATACCATACCTGCTAATACTTTTACCCTCAGTCCCCTTTGAGGAGGATGAAAAGGATCCCTCAGTGTGGTTCTTAGATCATAATTTTGTCGAATCGATGAGAGACATGTTCAAGAAGATTAACGCTCGTGAAAAGCTCATTGGATGGTATCACTCGGGCCCGAAGCTACGGGCCTCTGACCTAGAAATTAACGAGCTATTCAAACGATACACACCCAATCCTCTGCTGGTGATTGTCGATGTCCAACCAAAGGAGGTCGGCGTGCCGACAGACGCCTACTTTGCCGTGGATGAAATCAAAGATGTGAGTAGCTTTGCACAAAACCTAGAGCGTGAACATTCTTTTTTTTGGGGGGGGGGGGAAGATCTTGTGTCATCTGCTCACTATGACTACTTCTATTTCCAGGATGGCACCACCACTTCGAAGACCTTCGTTCATACCCCATCCATAATCGAAGCAGAAGAGGCGGAGGAGATCGGTGTTGAGCATCTTCTCCGAGACATTAGGGACGTTGCTGTTGGTACCCTCTCCACTCGCATAACGTCGCAGCTGCAGTCCCTGCAAGGCCTTCATCTACGCCTGCGGGACATTGGGCAGTATCTGCAGAAAGTCCTTGACCATGAGCTACCCGTCAATCATGCCATACTAGGCAACCTTCAAGATGTCTTCAACCTCCTTCCCAACCTATCGACCCCACCAGTGACACCACGCCTCAGCGGGTCGGAACAGCAGTCGGAGAACAGCGAGCTGGCACGTGCCATGAGTATAAAGACCAACGATCAACTAATGGCCATCTACCTGAGCAGTTTGATCCGCGCCATCACTGCCTTTCATGATTTGATCGAGAACAAGATTCAGAATCGACAACAGCAAGAAGAAAATGAGCTGAAGAGGGAACAGGAAACCAATGCTACTAGGGGCGAAAAGGAGGCGAAGAAGGCGAACGGGGCCATGAATGGAGAGCAAAAGGAAGAGCTGGATGGATCCAATGAAAGATACAAGCAGGGTCAATAAAATACTAGCCGGGCTATTGAGTCAATGTGATACGATTTAAAGCTACTTAGCCCGACATCGAAATGTAGAGTGCAGTAACGCTACTCTGATCAGGCTTCATCAAATCGATTTTTAAGAATCCGACTTGAGGCCTTGTGCCGGTTCCTAATACTCATGACACTTTGTTGAAAGTTGAGTTTCGTCACAAACTCCCCCGCGCCCCTTCTCTTCCACTCCCAAATCAACGAGACCGAGACAAAAGAGAGTTATTAGCATATGTATGTGCATCTTGGGCTTTCAATTCTTCGTGGTTTCAGACCCAGCCACCAAAAGTGAGCTTGAGGTCGGTTTGTATACGTAGACGGCTGAGCAGCAGGCCAGGTCCTCTCTGCACGAGATCGACCCCAAATTTTATGCTGTCCAATATCCCATAACTCCACGGCATAGCATTGCATTCGTCTGCCGAACATCATCTATATAGACTATTCGGCGAGTCTATGTCCACCTGGTATGTACACGGCTCTCGCGGAACAAGATGTAAATATATAGCGCAGTGACCGAGGATAGGCGGTGGGCCAGTATGTCATGAGGATTGCTATCATGCATGCGACCTAGCTGATCATCCGCCCCAACCAGCACACCAACCTCCCAGCTCCTGTGCACCGATGACGATTCGATCGTGATCGTCTGCAGAGGGCCCACTGAGTGCGGGACAGCGCACCGCTAATACACAAGCAAGGAGATGCTTGCATACTGGATACGACCACCTCACGGACCGCCGAGTCAAGCTTCCGCCGAAAGGGTAATAATGCATGCCGGGCACATGGTGGGATTGCGAGATATCACCACTAGGAGGATCATCCCCGGCCAACTTTGGACCTAGGTCGCGGAATGCGGCAAACGTGAATGTTGGGCAGGTGCAATTCCACGCTTGTAGTCGAACTTCGTAGCCTTTTTGGTCTGCATTAGGACGAAGAGATACTGGAAGAGACTCCCCAGGTGAAGGACTGGTAGCTGTAGACATTGAAATGACGAAGAACAAGTCTTCGAGTGGAGGACGCCTCCCATTCAGTGTTGACTCGCTGGGGCTTATTGGCTCGGAAGTGTCGGGGCTCCGAATGCAACAGTCCTCGTTCATGAAGCGCCTAACTAGGCCTCGGTCCAGTATATCCAGAGCAAGTAGAAGTTCATTTGGGAAAAAACAGTGGAGAGTCAGCATCAGTTGTTTCACGTTTGCTGCGTGGCCTGCTGAGAAGGCGGAGAACGGACGCTGGCGTTCAGGGTTGACCTCATCTTCTGGGTTAGCGGTACGTTCCGAGAGCTGCGAGATCAAATGCTCAATGAAGCGTGTAGTTGAAGGTAAAGCATTATCCGGCGGGTTTAGGGTCTCCATTCGCTTAGAACGACTGGTTAGGATCTGATAATGCCGGTGGGTTATTCGTTCCAGAGGAATGCCGGATCCCGGTTCAGATCAATTTTCTCAGAATCACAATATACTATGGCGGTAATTGGCTGCTAGGAGTTAAGAACTCTGCAGGGAAGAATGAAAAGAAATATATAGAAAAAGAGAGAGAGAGAGGGAGGGAGGGAGGGAGAGAGAGAGAAGCCAGGACTGAGCTAACCAATTCAAGATGCTGAACTCATGAGAAAAGTAAAGAACAGCATACCAAAACCACCAAGGGAAACTTAAAGTCCTAAACAAACCTACCGTGCAGTGCAGCCTTGTTATATGGGACCATCGGCCTTCAATTTTTGAGAATGAATAATTGCTGCCCGTTGCAAAGGGCTTTTTATCGACTATAGCTGGAGTTCGGAGTGTTTAATAATAACATTCCTTGACACCGCGTCCTGAGCTTTCGTTGTCATCCTTTTCTCTCTGAGATCCTTTCTAATTAATAGCTTGGGGGTATTGTATACTTAGCAGCTGTGGACTTATACACCCTTCACCTTTCTCGTCGATGGCTACGAACATAGAGGTCATCTTGTTTTGAACTCTCGTTCTGGGTCCCCCAGTAAATTAGAGTTTTAGAGTAGTAATAGTTACTGCCCGGTTATACATTCGTGATCAATTCTCTCGACATCGATGGTTCCCGTCAGGCTCATTATTGCATTTCTATGTCTCTCATAGGGCTCTGGCAAAGCTAGAACTGATGGACAGGATGGAAAGGGAGGGTATCCTTTCCTGGGAGATACGGCGGTTCTCGGACCAGTCAGTGAGTTATAGCAAGTCTACCGAAGCAGCAAATAAGCAAGAAGGTTCGCCTGGACAAGATCATTCATTGAAGCGAATCCGCAGTATATATGACGGGGTGTAACATAACCAATAAGGTAGAATTGCGGTAATGAAGGAAGCCTAGGTCCTTTAAGTCCTCCAGGTTCATTCGCTGTCGTACAGGTTCTATCCCAGGCAGCTGAGGCAATTCAGGGTATGGAATGACTTGAAAGGTTACCAAGGCGTGTGACGGGGGTCAAGCTTTACCGCGGGTTTTTTCTTGTCTTCTTCAGTTTAGCTCTTAATCACCCGTAGGCTCATATCTGTGCCCTTTGCTGCGTTATCTTTGCCGTTTACTTGTTGCGTCTTCGGTTGGTCCTATGTTTTGAATTTTGCTTAATAGAGATTGAAATGACGGGTTCGAATATCAGGATACACACCAATAAGGTATGTGATGAGCAGCAGATGTAGTAATACAACAAAAATACGCATAACTGGAAATCATCGGATAGTTGCACTAGGTAACTTTTTATTGAAATTACACCCTTGTATGTCACTTCTTCAATAGTATATCCCCATTTTACGGCGTATGGATTGGGGGGGGGTTATCATATCTCAATTTGGGGTCAAGACTTCTGGAAAAGAAAGATAGAAGTCCTGGCAAGACAGGGGTCACTGAGGTCATTGTTGTATACGCCATGGTTTCCCTCTTCTTCTTCTTTCCCTTGTGTACCGATACGAGGCGATTCTTTGTGCTATACATTGAAACCACAAAATTTGAACAACAGACAGCTATAGCTCCTGATCGGCCATACAATAGAGAGGCCTGCCTGTTAATCGAGGTACTGTACTCATCGAGGCGGACAGATTCCATAAAACCCATCGGAAATATTCTAGCGATATGTTTCATTCCATACATGTTATATGGCTGGTTTATATCAACTCAATAGGGAAGTAGATTGTAGTAGGTACTGCAATCTCATCTAAAAAGCAAGATATGGTGGTATGCTAGACATTTTCATGGATATCCCAAGGTGTTCGTATACAGCAAGTAATAACTAACTGTCAAATCAACGGTAGGCCCAACGCAATAATTGCTAATACACCTATGCATTCTATAACCCACAGAGAATAATCTATCTTCTTAATTAGATGAGAGCTACTATCTGCCTAACGATGCCCCCTAGATATAATGGCTGAGTTTTGACATTCTCTCATCGCCCCACTATTGTTTTGGCAATTGCACATCCAGGATAACGAGGATGAGGATGGGGATGATAACAAGAGCGCTGCTGAGAAGTGGGTAATGTATTCTGTTTTGTTATTGACCAAATCTAGAGTCTGATATTGCAAGAGATCTAATCGGATTCACGAACTCATACTCATGATGTACAGGCACTGTCAGGATCTCTAGTCCAATGTACATGGTCGTCTTCTAGATGAAGGACTGATTCCAGAACCGAGCGATAAGTATAAGGATAGAATATATTTTGAAGGCCAGATAAAATACGATTGATTTATAATATAATTACTCCTGTTTCTCAAGGAGATTTCGGCAAATAGTGAGTGTAGCTGATCTTACCTGTTGAATGAATCCGCCCCAAAGAGTTGAAATGAAACTGATGATGTATACTTAAGTACAGGCATCTATCTGAAACTGCACATATCAATTTGTCTAGACCTAGCCCCTTAGCCAAGACTTCTCGGGTACCATTTATTGCAGCTAAATCTCTGATTTCCAGACGAGAAATGAGAGATCCATCCAGAATAAAGATAATTGCCACTAGTACAACCATGAACACACAATCATAATTTACCAGATTAATTTATTCCGTAAGTCAAGCGCTTCCCCCCACATCGAGTCATCACCTGTGGATCTCTTGATCCCTTCTCTACTTTGACCCCTCAGTAAGATTAATTACGGTAATTCAATCATACCTTTCCTGCTAGTAGCTTCGATGGCCTGATTTCGCCCAGTCGAGAACTTGATGAGACAAATAACAGCCCGTCCCTTCTGGCCGAATGAAATGGGATTGGTTGGAAGACTAAAATATTTCTAAGAAGGGGTTCCTCTAACGCAGATACCCCAATGAAACAATTCTTGGCAAGTCATGTCCTCATACTCTGCGTCGTTTATGGTTCGCGGTCAATGTATGTACATAAGTACTTACTGGTCGAGAGGTGCATCCATCCATCCTTTTCATCTAACCAGTTAGTTCACACACGCGACTAGTATTATCGTGTTCCAAGTCAAATCCATCGACAGCAACGCCGACATCAGGCTATCTCGAGAATTCTTGTTTATCTTTTTTGCTCTTCTTCAGGGAACCGTGCACCTGCACTCCCTAGCGGGAGCAAAGAAAAGAAAAGAAAAGATCAATAAACCTTTGCTCTAAGCCTGAGGATAACAGCTCACCACAGCACCGTCTATTCTTAGACTGAGAAAGTTGAATGGTTAATTTTGGAAGTATCAAGTCGATAATATTAGAGCGATCGACTCGATTCATAAGCATGTTGAGAACTAAATATATCACCGATGCAGAGAACTATATTGGCGGCACTTGATCGATAGCTCACATATAGAGACAAAGAGCCTGGCAAGAGAAGGGGGGGGGGGGGGGGGGGGGGGGGGGGGGGGGGGGGGGGGGGGGGGGGGGGGGGGGGGGGGGGGGGGGGGGGGGGGGGGGGGGGGGGGGGGGGGGGGGGGGTGGGGGGGGGGGGGGGGGGGGGGGGGGGGGGGGTGGGTGTGGGAAGGAATTGGATAAGAAGTAGAAAAAGAAAGTCGAGGGCAGTAGTTAACAAATCGGACCAGAATCGGATTCATGAGCGCCCCAAAATTGTCCCATATCTGGAAGGTGACAGCTGAGTTCCTCTCTCAGAAACTCCATCCAAGCCCACACGGAGCTCCATCACGCATCTCATGGGCCAACCATATCGTTGGAACTTCAAGATATGGGCCTCAAACCGAAAGCTGGCGTTGCCTTCCCCCATAATTCCCCTAAGTCTCGCACTTCTTAACAAATCTAGGCCCTAGCTAACGCGCAGATCCACCCTTTGTTGGGCAGCGGCGAATGTCAACCGTTTACACCCATAACAACAAGCACACCTTTCAGCTTTGCCACCAAATGACGATCCAGTGCGTTTCATATTTTCATGGAATCCATCCTCTTAAATTGCCCCTTTCCGGTATTGATCTCTGTTTTAGTACGTATTATAACCCCACTGGCCATTCCAAAGCTAATCCGCAGATTCTGTATGAGTTAAGGATTGGCTACTTTGTAGAGACTCAACAAGCGAATGACTGAGTGGAATCGATAGGCTGGGCCAAGTTGGTGGTGTACTTACTACTCACTACTCAGTAGAAAACGTTGCTGATTATGATAGTAACAACGACGATCATCATAAAGAGGACACAACCACATATTGGGGATGGGTCCTTGTGATCGAAATGGTTCGGTAGTTGAAAATGGGAAGTGCACAGAAGACACTTGGTATCTTATCTGTACGAGGTACTTCTACAGAGTAGTCCTACCTAAAACTACTTGTTCTTCATAAGCAAACCAAATCCCAAGTTTCAAAGGCCAAAAATCAATCAATCAATAAAAGAACCAGAGGAAAGAATGGGAAGGGAAAAAAAAATGAAGCAAAAGAGAGTACAATTCTCTCTCTCTCTCTCTTTGTGTGTGTGTGTGTGTGTGTGTGTGAGACAACTGCATCCGATACTAGTGGGTAAAGAGAGGAAAGGAAAAGCCAACGAAAAGAGGAAAGGGAAAAAATGTGGGGCTGTCGGACATTTTTGTTGACGATCATTGCGTGCCGGGAACAGCTCAAGCAGTAGCATCCCTGTCCGAATCCACCACGCAGGAGCCAGTTATGTTTGTCTGTCTGTTCCCCAAGTTTGAAAATCCGAACCAATACTCGCCGCTTAAAATAAACAAAACAAAAAAAGGGAAAAGAGAACGTCAATGATGATATCCATCCATCTGTCTCCTTCCAAAGAAGGCGATTTCTCTCACCGATGGTCACTCGATAGTTATGATGATTATGATTACACTTCCCGTCTTGATAAGCGCCAATAGTTTTGCCGGAGATTTTCGCCTTCGTTGTTGAACATTCTGTCTGTCGTAAGAGTGCAGCGTGCGCCTTTCATTTATTTTACCACAGAGACGGAACGAGTTTCAAACGTATGTCTATTCTATGTATATCATGTACCCTAATCTCGGCTTGAACGTGAGGGGATCAAAGCCCACTTAATGATGGATAGATGCCGCAGGACCAAAGGAAATGAATGGTCCGTAGGCGTACGGAGAACCATCTAACCTGTCGCTTATTTCGTGCATATGACTGTTTTCCTCTCTACTTAATTTCTTCAACTACTTGCGCGAGTTAGGTCCTCCATTTGTTTGATGACATTACAATCGTATGAAGTCATGTGTGGTTGACTATGGCTACCCATTGATAATGGTATTGTTGTAGATTGAGCCTTGAGCTAATCCAGCAGCTCAATACTCGAAACCCGATCAAGTCCGCGCACGGGAAGAAAGTGGGCGGCAGGAACACATGTTCTAGACCTGCGGCAGGTCATCGCAGTTGAATACCCACATCACTATATCCCGTATAGTATATACACGTCTGACTGGTACATACGAGTCCGTGTCATGAAGCTACAGGTGTGATAAAACTGGTGGTGAATTCGAATACTGAACGTCTCATAGGCCTAGGAAAATTACAGTTACAAGACAAGTATATACGAAGGATGGGAGCGTTCTAGCCAGGTACGTTGCGATGATATGCTACTCCCAGGAAGTTTGCCTTGATCGTATGATGTTTGAATTTTGGACAGGGCAATAATTGATCTACCTGGCGGTGACTTACCGCCTACTTGTACTTTCTTATCCTGCATGAATTTGCATCACCCGAAGACGTTTAGCGGCTACAGTTGTCATCGCAAACTACGTCTGAGACGCGGAACGAACTTTTGCAGGCTATTGAGATTGGAATTAGGTTCCATGGCTAGCTAAACTAGTCCCTATCTGTTGGCATAGCTATGCAGTCTGAATTGAATGAAGTAGTTTCCGAGTGTACGGAGTAATTTGACCAGAATCGTAGTTCAAGCTTCGGTTAGGCAAATCACGAATTGAAAGCAATTAGTATGGAAGAGAGATGAAAAGGAAGTGGGTGGGTGGGGACATGGATAAAATGGAAATACAAAAAAAAGGGCCCTCAAAGGTACAAATTTCGTTCCAACGAGGCGGTGGACAGCCTTTAACCGCAAAAAGAAAAATGGGACGGAAAAAGAAAGGGAAAAAGACCATCCGCGTCTTTCATAAAACCCAATGAGATGTCTCTTTGCCCTGGAATTGTGGAGTGTATAACGACAGCTTACGGAGTATGTCCTCTGTTTTATTACTCAACTGACATGGCAAACCCGCTGGCTTGTCGACGAGTGGGAGCTTGAGTCGATACTGCCAAGTTCCCCATCAATATCCACTGCTCATCTCCTTTTTGTCAATACTCAAAAGCCACCGTTTCGGCCCCACTAATCCCTAGGTAATCAATCTTGCAGGGCTTGCAGCTGCTTACGGGAAACCCCTTGTTCCCGCGGCCCCGTCGTTCGAAGTCAACCCGTGATCCAGGTACTCCGCACATTATTATCATGATCTTATTACCCACTGTAACTTACAATGATACTTATGAATCTACGGACAGTGCGGGTAGGGGAATGGGAAAGAAAAAAGAAAACTCTCACCAACACCATGCAATGTGTAAATCAACCGAAGGATGAAGTTCACCAAACTGGCACTTATACTTGACCCCTCTACGCCTAGATGGCAATACCAAGAAACTGCACCAGATTATGAGTTGAAGCGATGCTATCCGCATATATGGAAAGGAAATGTCCTAGTACTCTGCAGTGCACCTACGGACCCAACCTATGTATAGAACTAAAGGACGACGACGCGTCTTTGGCGATAACGTAAATTAGTGAGTCTGGATCCATAGCCTATTTACTATTTTGCGGTTCCAGGCCGAGAGATCAACAGACCCAATTTAACTGGAAATTATTGAGACCTGGAGTTCGTGAGGCCGTCAGTCACCCGAATGGGTTGAACAAGATGTTAGAATTTGGAGTCCTGCCTCTCCCCTTGATATTACAGAGAGAGGAGGTAACTGTTCTGAAATGATTAAGGCTCACAGCACGTGAGAAGAGTCACTGCGCTCAACCGAATAGACCCGGTTTTGAGACAGTCCTATCTACCTTAATTGGCCCAAGGATACACTGAAACTGAAGTTGTGTATGACAAGGCGGCAGGCCTCAAGCCGTGAGGCGTACAATACAGTGTAATGAATAGTGCTGCATACTCTGCTGACAGACTCTTGTTGTGTCGAAAGAAAGTATTGAGACACTACGAAGCTTCTCTATGGCTGCATGCTGTCGAGACGTTGTATGTAATCCTTGCCTATGCACACTAAACGGGTAACAATATGCAACATGCATCAGCATCCACAGCCTTGTTCACTTTAAATGGCTGACGGCCATAAGTCTAGGACAAGGTAAGTATTTACCATGTCAACAAACCCAGTGGTATCATCTCACCTCAGACACAGTAAAGGCCGCCATTCGAAGGAAATTGGAGCAGAAGTGGGGGGTGGGGAGAGCGAGGGAACATTCACTTCTGAAAACAGGAAACCCGCCTTAAGAGTCAAGATGATCCACCATTCAAACCACGGAAAAGAGACAGATGGTTTGGCGCCAGGTCGAGGACTGGGTGAAGGCAACAAAAGCTTGTGGATTCATCGCTTCCCTTCAGGTTGGGTACCGTAAGGAGTTTCAAAATATGTATATATACATGGATTTCCACCTTACATGACCGCCTAGTCAAGCTTCAAAGGGAGAATTCAGTCAATGATGGGCTCAGGAATGATGCATATCACGTGTTGGGATGGATACCTAACCCAGAATATCATTAAAAAAAATAGTTCAGTCAACAAGCTAGAAAGTTATAGACCTAATAGTAGACATACTCCAGACACAGCCATTTTCAGTGAAACGTTGATTGCCCTCATAAGGTCGGTGAAGTCAGGAATGAGATGCAGAAAGTTGGACGAGGCGAACGGGTGCTAGCAGGACCCCGGATCCCAGTAGTGTCGGACTAGTGACATTGCCTTTGGCTGATACTTACCTTTTCGGGTTGGAGTTCGTTCGCCGTTGACAGGATCCATCGCCATGGTCCGGCACTAATTGGACAGGCAGTCCACAGCCGTTGGGACTCGGAAATCTAAATTGATTGTGAATGAACCAACCAAAACAGGGAAAACGGGAGAAGAACCTGAAGCGGAGGCTTAATTAAATTGAGATGCAAAACCTAAAGAGTACCAAAAATAAAGATTTTTTCCTACCCCCTCTTCTTTTTGAAAAAAGAAAGAAAGAAGAAGAAGTGAGTAATGGTGGTTTTCTGGGTTCATAGTATCCGAAAATTTGCATGGGGAATACTATTTTTTTTAAAAAAAAATACATTTAAAAAGAACTATCTCTATTGCTGGATGACGAAACCGTATATTCATGATGGTGTTTCCAGTATGAGCAAATGAAAGAATTTAAGTCCTTGTCAAGAGATGCTTTTAGGATTTGACGCCGTCGTCGTTACGCGACCCATAGATGCTCGTGTTTTTGTTTTGGTTAGAGCTTCCAAAACTATTCATACCCGGTTCAGGATGATGCTAGTCTCCACAGGGAGGAACCATGTTCTTCGTAGCTATGGAGTACTTTGTCGGGAGTTTGTATTATTTTCATTTTATTACTACGTACTGTGTACCTTCAGGCTCCCTCCCGGGTCCACCCAACCCCAAGGTAGGTACCGGAGGAGATGGCCTCTCTCTCTGTGTCACTGCCTATTTCTTATCGTTCATGTGGTATTTTTTCTATTCTTATTTCTTGTTTCGGCCTTTTTTTTAATGTCCTTATCCCTTCTTACTCTCCCCACTTTTTGACTTCTATGAATTACCCTAACTTTCGGGTTGTATACCGGGGTTCCCGGTTGTGCAAGTGGCTCAGGCCTTAATGCCTTTTTTTTTTTTTTTTTTTT